TTTGTTTATCCGAGGTGACTGTGAACGCACGCACTGACTATGCCTATTCAGTGTAAATTTAAAATTACTGTAATCCATATAGGAAGCTTTTCTGTGAAACAGAGCTTTTCCTACGTACTTACTTTTAATCACAGACACATCTACGTAAGGCAATGTAGGTGAATTAATTTGTCCATTTTTTAACATACCTATTCGGAAAACCTGCTTCGCTATGTCTGGTCTTCTGACTGTCACGGACACCCCCTGCCCGAATCAGCCCGTTATATCTAGGCGTCACTGTGTTACTGCGCCCGTTTCAACTTACCCAGATGCAGCAGTCCCCCAGCTATCTGGGGTCAACTGCATCTGGAAATATTAAATGGAAAGATCCAGAAATAAAGTATAACTTTTAAATTGCATGCTGTTCTAAATAGTATGATGAAGGCTTGCACTGTCCCACACTGTCTGGGGATAGGAACCATCCACACTGTACACACACACACACACACACACACACACACACACACAGTGGCACTCAGTAGCCACTCGGTTATCAGATCAACTGTCTCGGGCTCCCAGTGCTATGGTTCTGTGCTCATGTCCCTTTATTTTACTTTATAAGGGCCCAGAGCCGTTCACACAACTTCCATCACAGTGTGTTGTTAAAATTGGTCTAACAGTGCTTCCCAAAGTGTGGTACGCGTACCCCCAGGGGTACGGGAGGAGTTTGGTGGGGGTACATGTTGCACCGGGGTTTGGTGGGGATATGCACTGCTCCTAATTCTACATTCTCATGAGTACGAGGGGTACTCAGCGTGACGAAAATTATAGAAGGGGAAAAGTTTGGGAAACACTGGATGCTAGCATATGTCAAAAGTTTGGGAAACACTGGACTCTAGCATATTATTGCTATGAATCTCTCACTGCCTAATTGGTAAGTTAATCACAGGCACGTATGTAGGAAACAAACAGTATATACAGGGTTCAGTACTCCCCGTGGTCTCAGGGCGCCTCGGACCGTGTCCCGCTCAGATGAGAGTGGGAATAAAGTTTGGCATCGCTAAGGGCTGGAAGGGGAGAGAAGTGAGAGTTGGAGGAGGGTTTGGGGGTTTTTGTTTTGTTTTGTTTTGTTTTTATTTTCAGAGCTCTTAAGTGAAGTGACAGAAGGTAGTTACCGCAAAAAAGAAGGAAGAGGCGGAGAAAATGTAAAGAGGATTTATCTCCATCGTTGGGAATTGTGGTTAGACGGAGGGGCTCAATGCGTGTCATCTGGGCTCTGCCTTTCTCCCTGGGCCTCCTCCCCGCCCCCTCCTTCACGCTCCACGCCGACCTCAGGCGTGGGCGCCCAGGATGGTGACACCCCCCCGCCCCACTCCCCAAGCGCACTGGTTCTGAGGAGCCCTGCCCCCTCCCTCACGCTCCTCACAGACCTCAGGCGTGGGCGCCCAGGATGGTGCCCCCGATGCGCACTGGTCCTGAGGACCCGGCCCCGTGGCCGCAAGGTGGAGCCCTGCGGAAGCCACGGACAGGAGCTGGTTGGAGAAGAGAGGCTGCTGAGCAGGTGAAACACCAGAAGAGCCCGCCGTGTTGATCTTTAATTAAGCTTATTAGGGTGACTTTGGCTAATAGGATCATGTAGGTATCAAATATAGATTGTGGCTACAGGGTCTGTATATGGCACTGTGTGCCCACCCCCAAAGTCAGATCATCCTCTGTCACCATGTGTCTGGCCTCCTCCACCCCCACCCTCACCCGCCTTCCCTCTGGCAACCACCTCACTGCTGTTTGTGCCCTCGAGTTCCAGTTTCATATCCCATGTATGAGTGAGATCACATGGTTCATAGCTTTTCACTCAGCATCATGTTCTCCAGATCCATCCATGTTGTCGCAAATGGCAGGATTTCACCTTATGGCTGAGTAGTATTCCACCATGGATAGCTACCACATCTTTGTTACCCGTGTCTTGGCCACCGTGAATAGTGCTCATGGAACATAGTGGTGTATATATCATTTTGAAAACATTATTTTGAGGTTTTCGAGTATGTACCCAGGAGTGGGATTGCTGGGTCATACAGTAGCTCTGTTCTTAATTTTTTTGAGGAATCACCAGACTGCTTTCCATAGTGGTTGTACCAGTTTACATTCTGACCACAACCTCTCCACCACTTGTCATTGCTGGTCTTGTTGATAATGGCTACTCCAGCAAGTGTGAGGTTGTATCTCATTGTAGTTTTGATTTGCATTTCCCTAGTGGCTAGTGAGGTTGAGTGCATTGATCTTAAATGGTCATCCTTTAAAAAAATCTTAAGTTTAGTAAACTTGAGGTTTTCCCCTTTAAATGTTGAAATATTTTTATCATAAATGTTAGAACTGGATATTCTCTGAATCTTGCCAACATATCTAGTTTTTACTAAATATAAATTATATACACATATAATAATATGAAAAGCTATTAGAAGCCAAAGATTATATTCTCACTCTGATGTGAAAACTTATTTCAGTTACTTTATACCTTAATCAAATCTTGTCAGATCTTCTTAGCATTTAATAACAAAAGCCTTTTGTAATTTTTAGTTGACTTTAAAATTAGGTCCTAACTCAATGGGGGAACTCCCACAAATTAATAACCTGTTTTCTTAACTTAGTATAACTGGCATTTTAAGTATAAGAAAGCTTTCTAGTTAAAAGTGGTTCATGTTACAGATAACTTAGTAACAAAAATAAAATGTCTTTGCCTATGGCTCCTAAAACTGGATACTGTCTGGGAGAGAGTTTTTATGAGTTAATTTTAACCAAATTGATAGCAGTTTCTAGAAAGCAAAATCTTAACGGATTGAGAAAAGGCTCCCGAGAAGGCAGTTTTGCAGCTTATTTTATGCCTTAGAGGCCTTCCTTCCCCTGGTTACGGCTCCGGTTTTCCTCTGGCCCCTGGGACCCAGGCCTGCACTCTGGCTGCCGCCTGCTGTCTCGCTGCGGCTGGAGCACCGCTCCTCCAGCTCCCTCCACCTCCCACCCTCCCCTCATAGCAGGAGTCCCACCCTGCCCTGCCATTCCCTGCCTGCATATGCAAATTAACCCATCGTCTGTGTTGGGTCAATTAGCATACTCGCTCCTGATTGGCTGGTGGGTGTAGCAGAGATACAGGCAATTTGCATATTTCTCTTTTATTAGAGTCAAGGAAGGAGGTGTAAGGGGGTGTACAATCCACCGGTGGTCAATTAAGGGGACAGGGAGAAGCAAAACAGGGAAACCTCTAGGATTGGATAAAGAGTAAAACAGAGTCACATACTTTTATATTGGGGTACGGGATAGTGAACATTTACTACACATGCAGATGGTATTCGGGACAGAGTAACAATAGGGGTTCAGTAGCTCTGGTGGGTGTGTTCTGAGGGGTGTGGACAAAGTGGTTACTGACATTCCAGAGGCATCTGAGATGCAGAGACACTGAGCTCAGTCATGGTAAAGGCGGACTCCCCACCATGGCCTGCTTTTAGTTCCGAGTTCTAATTTCACACCATCCCCAGCGGTTACTTTCGGCCTCTGGGTGTGTCAGGCTGCCATGCAGGCCTCCCCGGAGCCCGCAGGTTTACCTGCAGCCCCCTTTTCATGCACGGTGCATCAAGTCTAAGTGAATCGGCTTGAGTATATTTCTGAATGATCAAACTTATCTGACTGCATCTTAAATCTGCAGAACTAAACTGAAGGGTGACCGTTAGAGCATATTTTAAAGTTGTCTGTTTACCATTCCTTGGTCTCACAAGGAGCACATGAGATTTTTTACTTTAAAATCTTGACCATTAACATGGAAAACAGTCAAACTTTTGTTAGAACTCAGCCTTTCATGCATGTAATTTCATTCAGGAATGTTAAAATAGCTTATTGTTTTCAATGAAAAGGTAACTGCACCCCCCTCAGCTGTAACCTCCTCTGCCCAGGCCATGCCTCCCTCAGCCCCGCCGTGCTGCCCTCCCCCAGCTCCCGGCTAGAGGCTCGGAATCCCGTGCATTCTCGCCAGGGTAAAGCGCTTTGCCGTGGGGCTTTCGGATGCTCCTCCTGCTCTGGAAAAAAAAAAGTTTCACATTACAACCCTCCCGCTCTCACATGTGCACCGGAAGAACAATACGGTGTTTGATGCTCTGTTAGATTTTTGTGTTTAATTCCCCTAAGGAAAAAGCAACACACACGTGCAGGTTGGTCACAACCCACCAGGTGGGTTTTATGATCCACTAAGCGGGATTTTGGTCACAATAAGAGAAATTCTGCCTTCATCACAGCCTGTGTGGGACATGAGCCTTGTTTGGGAAGAAAAGAGTTGGCAGATGAGAAGCAAGGAGAAGGGGACGGGTTTCTGCCCGGGGGCAGCCCTGGGAGGGCACAGGCCCGGGAGTGGAGAGGCGCAGAGCAGCCTGCTGGTGCGAGTTCTGCTTGCTGAGGCCGGCTCTCCCGAGAACTGGTCCTCTGAGTCCATCCATTCCAACTTCCTGCCCAGTACAAGGATGTGAGTACATCTTGTCCGTGCCTTTATCCCTTCTTTTCTGAGTGGCACAGGAATTCTTTAGTCATTTCAGAATAAAATTAACTTTTTATTTTGTTATCTTCTGTGCTGCTGTTACTCTAGCATTTTTTTAAGAGTAAAGGAAAGAGATCAGTTTTAGCAATTCTCAGTTTGTAGTCCCTCATTGCAGCCATCAATGAAGGACCCCCCCTCCTTTTTTTCATATTTTGTTGATTTCAGAGAGAAGGGAGAGGGAGAGAGAGAAACATCGATGAGAGAGAATCATAAGACAGCTGTTTCTTTCACGCCCCTACTGGGGACCAGCTGCTACCTGAGCTCGCACCCTGGCTGGAGTCCAACCGGTGACCTGGTGCCTGGGCCCAGGCTTAACTGCTGAGGCACCGGTGGGGCGGACTTCCCCCTTGAGTGTTATGGGCAGGGAGGTGGCAGCAGGATGCCCGTGATGCCCAGCAGCGCCCGCTGCAGGCACCGGTGCCCACTGAGCCCTGTTGTGTCTCCACAGGCCTGGGCAAGACGAAGAGGAAGACGAGCGCGAGGGACGCGTCCCCGACGCCCAGCACGGACGCCGAGTACCCTGCCAATGGGGGCGCCGACCGCATCTATGACCTCAACATCCCCGCCTTCGTCAAGTTCGCCTACGTGGCCGAGAGGGAGGACGAGCTGTCCCTGGTGAAGGGGTCGCGGGTCACCGTCATGGAGAAGTGCAGCGACGGCTGGTGGCGGGGCAGCTACAACGGGCAGATTGGCTGGTTCCCCTCCAACTATGTCCTGGAGGAGGCGGACGAGGCGGCCGCGGAGTCCCCCAGCTTCCCGAGCCTGCGGCGGGGCGCGCCCCTGAGCAACGGCCAGGGGGCGCGGGTCCTGCACGTGGTCCAGACGCTGTACCCCTTCAGCTCGGTCACCGAGGAGGAGCTCAACTTCGAGAAGGGAGAGACCATGGAGGTGATCGAGAAGCCGGAGAACGACCCCGAGTGGTGGAAGTGCAAAAACGCCCGGGGGCAGGTCGGCCTTGTCCCCAAAAACTACGTGGTGGTCCTCAGCGACGGGCCCGCCCTGCCCCCGGCGCACGTCCCGCAGATCAGCTACCCGGGGCCGGCGGGCAGCGGGCGCTTCGCGGGCAGGGAGTGGTACTACGGGAACGTGACCCGCCACCAGGCCGAGTGCGCCCTCAACGAGCGGGGCCGCGAGGGCGACTTCCTCATCAGGGACAGCGAGTCCTCGGTAAGTGGCCGGGCGCGAGGCCTGCTGCTGCCTCTTGCTCTCCTCTCCCGGGCCTTTTCCTGCTCACTGAGGGCAGAGCCTGGCTCTTCGTCTCCACAGGCCAGCGGAGGGCTTGGGTCCAGAGTCCAGCGCCCACCTCGCAGTGCGCGGGACGGACAGGGCTCGTCCTCAGCATCGCTGAGGCTCAGTGGCATCCTCGCCTGAGGGCCTCTTTTTTCTCAGCCTTTGGGCCTGGACCTTCCCGAGTCCACACAGGGCGCCCGGGCTGGCCGAGCTGAGCGGCTGTCTCAGAGCACATCTTCAAGTCGCGTCCTCTTCACAGGCTGCCTGGTGGCTACAGTGTCCATAAGCTGGACTCCTGCTTGTTGGTATTTTGCATTTTAAACTGTGTAATATATTTCCGTTTTGAAAGATAAAAATATACCAACTGGGAATCCAAGGAAATATGCACTTTTGGGGGGAGAAGAGCATATTTTGGGAAAACAAACTAGAACATTGCCACGCTGTGGCCCCGGTGTCGGTGACATGCATGGGTATCCGTTAGACACGTTTCACCAGTGAGCGCGGGGACCGGCCGGGCCACCTGCCGTGGCGTTTCCTCTCTGAATCTCAGCCCCTAATTCTCTTTCTTCCGTCGTCTCTCTTCCTCCTTTGCTCTCCTCTCACCCGTCATTGTCATGCATCCTTAGCAGCTCAAGATGAAATAAACCGTTCCTCACTCTCGGTGTTGGACAGTCATGCTTCTGCCTGCGCATCCATAGCCTTTAAACCTAGGAAACTCAGCGCTGCTGTCCTCTGCCTGCCCACCTTTCATCCTGGTGTGTGCCCGCCCCATCCCACGGCTGTCCTTACAAGTAGGAACAGCCAGAGCTGGAATTGTGGCGAGCTGCGGTTCTGCTTTTTCATTGGCTGCGCCCTGCCCTTTCGGAAAGGTGACTCAGAAGGTAGCGGAGTACAGGTGGGGGCTGCGAAGGGGCCGCATTTGCCTGTCTTTAGGAGCCGTTTTCCTCCGTCAGAATGAAGGTCCGGGACAGCAGCCCCTCACAGCGGTGCGTGCAGAGCCTAACGTTCTGCCACCGGCACGTTGCTTCTGACAGAGAAACACTATCTTGCCAAAGATAATTACTGCACACAGTATTCACACTAATAGTTCGTTTCACCCCTTGTTCTTTTTTGGTCTATTAAAAATACTTGGTCAGGAAGGAACAGAACAAAAGCAAGTTCCTTGCTATATTTTTCAGATTGCAGGGCGGAGTAAAAATAGGGTTGTGACTACGCCAAACGCAGTTTATTCTTGTACTGTATTGTTTTCCATGCAAACAACTGTAAACCCACTTCTCCCCCACCCTGTACATTTCTTATGGAAATCCTAATTTGTTTTGGTTAATACTCACCTCAGGATATTTTTTTCCATTGATTTTTTTTTTTTTTTTTTTTTTTTTTTTTTTTTTTTTTTTTAAGCGAGAGTAGAAGGGAGGGAGGGGAAAGGAGAGGAAAGAGAAGAAATATCAATTGGCTGCTTCCTGCATGCACCAAGACCAGGGCCAGGTACGAAACTACAACCTAGGTACATTCCCTTGACTGGGAATTGAGCCTGAGACCCCTCAGTGTGTGGCTGATGTTCTAACCACTGACCAACACCTGCCAGGGCTTGAAATCTTAATGTTAGCCAGAACTCAGTTTCAGGCAGTTTGATGAGTCTCTCCACGTCAGTGATGCTCAAATTGTGAGTGTCCCGGAGCCTGGGGACTTGGCACAGGAGAGGTGGCTGCTCCCACCACACAGCTCCCGAGTCAGGAGCCCTGGGCCCAGACATTCCTTGGTGGTGCTGCTGCTGCGGATCTGGGGTCCACTCTTTGAAAACTGCTTGTACCTATTATGCAGTCTAAATGGTTTTATACACATTAATAGCAGCAATTTAAACTCAATTTCTGCAGAATACTACAATTCTAAGCATTATAACATGCTTAAACGTGAAAATTATTAACCCTATTGTCGAGCTCACTTTTATGCAGAACTGTCAGCTTTTGGTGAGTGAAATTCATCTCATAAAGTATAATACTTCTATTTATTTTAGAGCTATTTAGAGTTTGGTAACTAAATGTATTTGCTCTGTGTTTCTGATCGAGGATGAGAAAGCAACCGTGGCCTGTTTGCTCAGTGGTTAAAGCATTGGTCTGGTACTGAAGGGTTGCCGGTTTGATTTCCAGTCAAGGGTACATACCTGGGTTACAGGTTCCATCCCCAGTCCCATCCGGGCCTGTGAGGGGGACAACCAATTGATGTGTCTCTCTTACATATCTCTCTCTCTCTCTCTCTCTCTCTCTCTCTCTCTCTCTCTCTCTCTCTCTCTCTCTCTTTGTCATTCTCTCTCTCTCTTTCCTCCCTCTCCCCTCCTTCCACTCTCTCTAAAAAAAAATAGTGGAAAAATGTCGTCGGGTGAGGATTAACAACAAAAAGGATGAGAAAGAGCTCGGTGGTCGGAGAGGAGGGAGAGCTGCCTCCGAGGTGGCTCAGAAGACGGGGCTACGGGGGTGTCTTCCTGCCGTGGCTGCTCACAAGCTTCTGAGACCCCGTTTGGCTCGGTCGTTTCTGGATGTCCCCTGAGAATGGGGTGCGGTTAGAACACAGACAGGTTCCTAGGAGCACCTTCCAGTTGCAGAAATAGAAGTTGTTTTATTTAGTTGTCAGGACTGCAGTTCACTAGCTAATGGAAGTTCTGTGTCTGGGCCTTCACAGCTGCTGACATTACCTGTCTGAGCGCACCCTCAGCTTCAGGAATGGCGGGCCCCCTCCGCCGCTGCCTGCCGTGCGGGCGCCCAGCCTGGAGAGGCTGGCGTCAGTGATGTCAGTGACGCGGGAAGCACTGAGCATCGCGGCATTTCCTGCTACATTATAAGTAAAAGAAAGTAAAATGCAGGTTCCCACCTCTTGCAGAATAAGGTGCTTATGAACGTTTTGTAAGCCCAAATGATGTAATTGAAGAGCAATTATCATAAATTTCCATGGAAAAATTGAGCGTACCTAGACCCAAAAAATTACCAACCGAGTCAAACCAAATAGTCCACAGGAGCTGAAGTGACATGGACAGGAGAGGCAGCGCTGTGATCAGGGCCCGGGCCTGAAGCAGAGGCGGCGTGCACACGGGCCTTTCACTCACTGAAGGACAGTTGCTCCTTGAGTGTGAGCTAACTGACAGAGCACACGCCACGTCCACCAGGCGTCCACACGGCTGTGGGCTTGCCCTTCCCCCACGGCCGGTGCCGGTGGAGGAGCCGCTTGGCACCAGCAAATGCAGCGCTCACACGTTTTCTCTGTGGACACGGACGGCTTCCGTGGACACACGTGTCTTTACTTCCTTCAGTGAACACCCTCAGGAGCTCTCCGAGGCCTTTCTGACACCCCAGGACCCCTGCCGAGATGCACAGAACCCCTGGAGAAAGGCCCCGGCGGGCAGACGCGTCAGGCTCTGGGCTGAGGCTGAGGGGCTGCGGTGTGGGAGGGGCTCCGTGCTGCCTCTGTGATGGCGCTGGCAGGACAGTCCGAGCACTGTGTCAGCTTTTCTTTGTAAAAGGGAGCATTCTCCTCCCTTTAGTTAGCAAAAACTTTAGGTTAGCTTTAGGTCAGCAAAAACAAGTACTAATGTAGGTCTTCCATCAAGTGAAGTGGGGTAACATGAACTCCAAAGAGTGGGGTCCCTGCAATGCTAGCTTGGTTTGAGGGGCGGGAGGTAAATGTGGGGAGCAGACGAGAGAGCAGTCTGACCTAAAACTCGCCTGATGTGACGCTCAGCAGGACCGGTGCAGGGCGGCTGCGTGGCTCGGTCCGGAGAGAGTGGGGACGCCGCTGGTGGCCGGCCGGTCCCCACTGCGTCGCCCCCAGTAGCTGGCGGCTCTCCGTGGGCACCGTGCCTCTCCAGGTGTCAGCGTTCCTCACCCTCTCCCTCCTCAGGCTTGTGTTCCTGCCGTCGGGTTCTGGACTCGGCTCCCTCTTCCTCCAGACCCGTGGAAAAGTCTAGAGCACAGCTCCCCTCCCTGGCCCTTCCTATATAAAGTGCACACGTCCTTCAGGGTCCTTCTAGGCGCCTTGCTTCTGGGAAGCCTTCCCGACCGCAGGCCACAAGGCCGTCTGTGCTCCCTGCAGTCACCCCTGAATGTGCGGTGACCCCTGGGGAGACCGAGTCAGCGGGAGAACGCACATTGCATTGTGGGACCCATCGAGGCCCTGGCACCTTGATGGAACTTTAAGAAGAGTTCTCACATAAACAGGGAAGGAATTACCCAGAATGCGCACAGCCTCGGTGTGAGCTCCCAAGCTGTGGTCCTCGGGGTAAGTGCCCGAGTGTGGTCCTCGGGGTGGGCACCCGAGCCATGGCACAGGGCGGGACTCGGGCGCCTCTCCCGCTTCCTGCTGGCCGTGCTGACGCACCAGCTCGCTTGGCTCTGACACAGTGGCTCTAGTTATTGCTGCCACGAGGAGGGCCAGACACCCTCCCTTCAGGCCTGCAAACACAGTGGGGAGAGAAGTGGGCAGAAGGGAACACAGGCAACTAAAAAGTAAATATATGTGTGTCTAAGTAATTCATCTTTAGAAAAATTTTCATAAAATTCCTTAAATCACTAAGTGCCCTTTAGCTAAGTATTTCTATTACTCTCATGTAAAATTGCTAGTACCTGTGAGAAATGTTTCCTCCCTAATATGTGAAGCTGTAATGGAAATTTTAAAAAATTGGATCAGGTAAGTTCTTAGCATTTGCCTTAGGAGAAGGGCTCCGCGGCTGGTACGTGCAGGACGGCGCAGACCAGCTTTGACGGCTGTGTGCGTTCGGTGTTCCCCTGCCGGTCTCTCTCACGGTGGCCGGAGATGTGCCTGAGTGTGCTTCTCCTTGAAGCCGCCTTCCCTTTGGCTCTAGAAGAGGCGCAGTGAGACCTAGCTCCCAGTAACTGTGATCACCACGCTGGCAACGAGAGGAAACCAGGAATTGTCAGGGTTTTGAACTG